CTGGGTAAGATGGAGGGTCAGAGAAAAAGAGAAAGACCCCCAACAAGATGGATCAGCCAGGTGGCATCATTGATGGCGTCAAGTGTGGCAGTGGTGGTGGGGTTGGCCCAGGATTGGACATTGTTTCTTTCTGCTGTGCATGGGGTCGCTATGAGTCGGTTCCGACTCGATGGCACCTGACAACAACAACAACATTGGAGGAAAATATTGAAAGTGCCATGGGCTGCCAAAAGAATCAACAGATCTGTGTCAGAAGAAGTGCAGCCAGAGTATGCCTCTTAGAGACTTCGCTTTCATACTTTGGACATATTGTCAGGAGGGACCAGTCGCTGGAGAAGGATATCATGTTTGGTAAGGTGGAGGGACAGAGGATAAGAGGAAGACCCACAACAAATTGGCAGCATCAATGGGCTAAAGCGTGGCAGCAATTTTGAGGTTGACCCAGGACCGGGCAGTGTACTGTTGTACATAGGGTCATTGTATATAGGATTCTGTTGTACATAGGGTCACTATGAGTCAGTGCTGACTCAATGGCACCTAACAACAACACATGCCTTCCTTGTAGTCTTCCCTTGGATTGTTTGGCTGTGTGTCTCTCTAAAGACCTTAAGTCTTTGTACTCTGTATGTTTCTTTAGGTTTTTTTTCATTGGAATTTCTAAGTTGTGGTTAAGTATCTGGGAGAAAAGAAATAAGTCAATTGAACTTACCTTTAATGAAAATAAATAAATAAATAAAGTTCCTGGGTGTTTTTGTGAAGTTAAAACAAGTTTCATTTCATTTTTGAATATATGCTAGCATTGCCATTTAGGAAAGAAAATAACCCAGTGTAGAAATGCAAACTTTTGGAGGCTAAAAACAGCAACTGAATTTCAACAAATGAATACTTTTTTCTTTTTTAAATAAAATTCAAACAATTCCATAACAAAGGATTAAGTAGCAACATGAAGACTTGGAGGGGAAGCTATAGCATGAAAATGGGCAGTCCTAACTCTGAAGTTGTCCTAGACGGTCTGTTTGCTTCTTTGAAAAACCATGACTATGATTTTCCTTCTTTACTTCCTTAGGCTCCCCGAACCTCCAGCTTTACTGCCAAACCCTGCATCAAAGGTGAGACGCTCTGACAAAGGTATCTGTAGAATACTTGGGAAAATAAGACACTTGAGCTACATGAGTCTAAGGTTATTCTAGTTCAAGGATCATGAATTTAGGTGGAATAAGGACTCTACTGGGCTTTCCATCAATATTTTTTATTGTTGTAGATTTTACCTGAATAGTAAATAAAGCCCCGTGAAAATTTAACATCATAAGAGTAAACTTTAGCAAGATACTTGTGTGAAAACATTATACTATGTAATTTAAATTGTTGTTAAATGCCACTGAGTCAGTTCTGACTCATAGGGACCCTGTATAGGGTTTCTGAGGGTACAGCTGGTGGGTTTGAACTGCTGCTCTTGTAGCATACCAGGGCTCTTAATTTTTTTTCAAAAGTTGGTTTTGATTAAAATTAGACCACTTGATTAACTTTATTTTCTTGTTAAAATTACAACAAGTTTTTGGTTCCAACTGATCGTGACCCTGCACAGGGTTTCCAAGGCTGTAAATCTTTATGGGAGCAGAACGCCTTATCTTTCTCCTGTGGAACCACTGGTAGTTTTGAACTGCTGACCTTGAGGTTGGCAGCCAGACTCATTACCACTATGCCAAAGATCCTCTTTATAGCTCAAACTCTTTACTAAATCTAATTGTCATTGACTTTTCCAACCAAAGCTTTTCCAACACAAGAGCTTTTCCAACACAAAGAACCCTTTGAGGGGGACAGCTACAGTGTTTTTTCTTCCTGTATTTGAAATGATCCAGGAAATGGGTATATAATCTCTGTCTGTTGGTGGAAACATCTTTCTTCAAGAACTGCCACTTACATTTATCTCCCACTGCACCACCAGGCTCCTTAGGGTAGCACTAAGCCCACTGCCATCAAGTAAGGACTCCACAGGACAGAGCAGAACTGTCCCACAGGGTTTTCAAGGCTGTAAATCCAACTACCAACCTGCTAGTGTAAATACAACTAGCACACATGTGCTTAACTGAAGTTGTTAAGTGTCGAGGAGCTGGTTCCAACTCACAGCAGTCCTGTAAAGGATTTCCTAGGCTGTACATTATTGTAGGAGCAAAAAGCCTCCTCTGCTGTAATCTTTATAGAAACAAATTGCCAGACCTTTCGTCCATGGCCTGGGTGTGTTCGAACTGCCCAACTTTAGGTTAGTAATTGAGTACAAACTGCGCCCCTTCTACCCCCCAGAGACCTGATAGGAGACATGAAGAAGCAGAATTGTCTTTCTGTGACCAAGAGAGTTGTATGCTGAGTCGTTTCCAACCCATAGCGACCCTGTATAGGATTTCCAAGGAGCAGCTGCTGACCTTGCCGTTCAAACTGACTTGCCATCCAGCACATTAACCCACAGCGCCACATCAGGACTCCCAACCAAGAGAGAGGCTCGCTGAAAATAGTTGTTTCTTACGTTTCTGTCTCTAAAAATTAAGCATATTCTTCCTCCCAAATATCTTAGTAACTTAGAGATCATTCATGAATTGATCTAAACTTATTCTTGAAAGTTTTAGATTGTGACACTCTCAGGGGTAATAAGTTTCATTAAGTTTATTCTTTTCTGTCTCAGTTTTCTGTTTTATTTTCATTTCCAAACCTTAAGTAGTTTGTGATGTCATCATTTAGGATTTAGATCAGAGATCAGCAAACTTTTTCTGTGTAGGCCAGATAGTAAATATTTTAAGCTTCCTGGGATAGATGGTCTCTGTCACAACTCCTCAGCTCTGCAGTAGTAGTGTGAAACAGCTATAGACAATGTGCAATTGAATGACCATGTCTGTGCTCCAATAAAACTTTATTTACAACAGTAGGCAGCCAGATGGCTTTGGCACATGGGCGCATGGTTTGGCAAGCCTTATCTCCAGGGTCATTTTCATTATTTTTTTAAGTCTTCTTCAGGCTCTCGTGTCCACATTACAACTGTACTGGATTTTGTACCCGTAGTTTAAACAAACATAGGGCAGTGTCCTCTGCCAGTTTTCCTTTTGGTGTTCAGTAGTTGATTGATTTGCATGGTAGTATAATTGATTGTTTTCAGGAAATGCATTCTAGTGGCTTTTAGGTTTTTGTTGTTTGATAGCTTGGATTCTGTCTTTGTGAATATGTTCTACATTATTTTTCCCTGACTGTCAACACTTGTAGAATCCTGCTGTGGTTCTGTGTGGGCTCATGCGCTGGATTGCAAAGTCCGTTTGAACCACAACTATACAGGGTTGCTGTGGGTCAGAACCGACTCACCGTCACTTAGCAACAACAACAACAATCACGTTTGCCTAGGTCTAAGCTCTGTTTCCAAACTCCCCATCTATTTGGTCTTTTGAATCTGTCACTGATTTCGTTAACAAGAAGAGTTGAATGCAGTTGGTTCGTTTGGAGATATTCCTGCGTCACTTCTTAAAAATGGTTTCTAAGATGCACAAGAACATCTCTGGTACTCTGTTTACTCTTCTGTTTACAGACCTTTTGTTACTTTCTTTCTGAGACACGTTCCTGTCTACTGTAACATCTCACAAATCCGTGGTCTTTTCATAAGAACAGTTTAAGTAAATATATCGATAATGTTTCCTTTAAAAATCCAACAGCGTATTTGAAATAAAATCAGAACTGGTCATGTGCAGTAGCTACCACAGTCATTTCGTTTGTCATAAGCTCTTCAGCTGGTGTCTTGTTTGGGAGTGAAGCATGGAAACACCTCAACTGATCCAGTCACTCAGGTTGTGAAGCAATTTACGCGCTCTCCCCAGATTTTTTATTGGACATATCAGTGAAAAGTAAATATTGTTCAAGTTGTTAGAGTGACATCTATCTTAGATACATAGTCCACTAGGAAGAAACTCTGGGCTCCTCATAACTTCAGGCTTTCTGTGTTCTGAAGATATTACAGCCTTTACTGGTATTAGCTGGGAGTACTACCCTCCTGCTTAAAGATACCTTTCTAGTAAAAGCACACATCACCTGAGCAGCCATTGCTGTCTTGATTTAAATAGAAAGCTGGGTGTATGCTTTCACTCTGGGCTAACTCATACATGACATATTAAGTTTTCTTTAAACACTTTGCTAGAGGTCTCTGTGTGGCCAAGAGAAGTTTTCTCACAGTACATTCCCAGGATGTCCTTTCTGTTACGTTACAGTGGAGAATCTTAAGAAACGTTTTCTCCCCTGTGCCGTGCACCCTGTGCATTTTCCTCCCCAGTGTCACCCATTCTTCGTTTAGCAACAGTTGGACCATGAAAAGTGAGAGAAGGAGCATTTCCTAGGCTTGTTACCCCAGTGTCTCCACAGAGAGTGTGTAGTCTCAATCTGATACAGCCAGACTTACGTGTGGTGATGAGGTCTTTTCCTGAGTATGTGGCAGTTCGTTTTGTGTTATGAACATTAAGACCACCCTCTAGTCCTTGATAAGATTCGCACACTCATTAGAGCAAAACATTCATGTAGGAGTAAAACATTAGGAAAGCTGTGACTTAGTTGTCACTGGATTATTGTCAAAAAAATGAAGATTTGCCCCTGAGGTGACCTTAAGATGATCATTTGCCTCTCTGTGCTTCCCTCTCCTGCTGGCCGCTAGCTTGCAAGGCTGTTCTTGTGTGGACAAAATGAGATCATCGAATGCAAAGCAGGGAAGAGCGTGCAGCTGTGCAAAGATGGTGGTACTAGTGTGGCCCATCTCTGAACTCACACGGGGACTCTAAAGCAGCACTTGGAGGAGAGTATGGAGTGGGCTTCTGGCTCCCTCAAGGGGCTTCTCACCTGTAATCTCTTTGCCTTGTTTTCACCACTCAGACGGTGGTAGCAGGTCGATGCCCACCTTACCAGTCTCTTCTTAGTGTTGTGAGACCATCTGAGGGCCTGGGCCATGTAGTTGCCCAATCATAGCCCACATCACCAGGGCCACTTCTGAGAAGTGGGGTGTAGTACCTTAGCTCCCAAATAACTGACCAAATGTGAGGGAGCCCATGAAATCCCAAGCCCTCTGCAGTACCTGCTGCTCTCTTTGGCCTCTGTGGGAAGTGGCTTCTGGGTCCAAATTGCACGTGGTGGTTGTTTTTTATAAATGGCTTGATGTAAGTGTCCAGGTGACGTTTGACGCCACTTCACTGCTCTAACATTGCAGAAAATAAAGTTGTCTGATGAGCCTGTAGAAGCAAAAGAAGATTATACTAAGTTTAACACTAAAGATTTGAAGACTGAGAAGGTACGTGTGTCCAGGACAATGGCATATTGTCTGTACGTCTAAGTGCTGTTGCCTGCATGCATCAAGGGCTAGTGCTCCTACACCCCAGACCACGCCGTTACTACTCCCTGACCTAATCGCTCATTCAGATTCTGTGCTTTCCTGTGTGATTTAGCATTGTTTTTATGCTCAAAGGTCTTGCCCATTGCTAGATAAAGTAACTTCCACTTAAGAGTTTAGTATTTAACAATGCCCTCAGAGTTTTATTACTTATGTTTTTAATTCTTTAATCTACACATGATTGATTTTGGCATGTGGTGTCAGGGGATAATCCAATTTAAGACCTGGCTAACAAGCTACTTTCCTGAGTTGTCTTTGTTATCAGGGACATTCTGAGTTAATACCCTTTTTAAGTGCCACTTCCCATTGTACCCATTTGGGGGAAGGGGTGGGGTTAGGATATCAGTAGAGTGCCTGACATTTTTCACCATCCAGTCAAAAAATGAGCCCACTAATTTTTAAATGCCAGAATGTGAGAAGGAGGCATGCAGGGACCATACACTGTCGCCCTAAAAGATACTTAGGCAATGACTTTCTTCTGTGGTCCCCAGAGAGATGCAAGAGTTTTTTTGTTTTTCGATTCCCATCTGGTGTTGTTCTGAGCAAGTTGTAGAAGAGATAGAAGTTTTCAGGGCAGAATCATTTGGAGTCAGTTTTTGGAAAGTACTTCTTTTGTTGGAGGAGAAATTAGGCAGCTATTCTGCTGCTCCCAGGATGCCTTGCAACACAGGTCATCTTTGGAACATAAAGTATTGTCCTTGGTTCCCCATAGAGTGTATGAATAAAATCAAATGGTAAATTGGTGTGAATTATTCATCATGTAATACTACAAGGCTGTAATTCCTCCCTCTGACAACACAAATTGAATTACAGTCTGTGTCAGTTCCATTGTTGGTGTCATTACACTTAATGTGCCTTCCAGAATTATTCCTCCGCAAGGAAGCTGTTGGCTGTAACATTCCACTCCTCAGAAGGCGGCAGTTGTATCTTTTGCCTTTTTTTTTTTTTTTTTTTTTAACATATTCTGTCTCAAAGGCTTGAGTTCTGGATAGAATTCAGAACTTCTTTTTTATAATCACTCCCTTATGAAGCATGTTAGCAGTGAATGCTTGCCTTCCCTTAATAAACCTCCGGACATGCACAGTCTTGTTTGATATGCACATGGTTTATAAATGTTACATTGGTAACCATTGTTCCTCTTATTTTCATTAACAGAAAAATAGCAAAATGACTGCAGCTCAGAAGGCTTTGGCTAAAGTTGACAAGAGTGGAATGAAAAGTATTGCTAGCTTTTTTGGTGTAAAAAACAAAAAAAAGATTTGAAAGTTTGAAGATAAAATCTCGCAAAACTTTGATTTTGCTTTTTACATGTTCCATTTTCTCTCTTCCTCCATATACCACTGTACCTCCTGATCTTTAATGGCTACCTTTTGGAGGAGATTCAAAACAAAAAATGTCCAGCCAAGAAGCTGAAGGGCAATTTTCATATTCATTTGAATGATTCATTCTTTGTGTTTGTTTGTTTGTTGTTGTTGCTATTCCTGAATATGGAGGGGGAAAATCGTGGAACTTCATGGCTTGTGGCCTTTGGAGTCTTGTTTGACATAATGAGAAATAATCAAGTGGATAGAATTAATGTACAGCAGCACAATTTCCTCAATAAAATGACATGTAACAGTATTTGGCTGTGTGCCTGTTATTTCATACAACATTGCTACCGAGTAGCTGTAATAATTCTGTTTCAAATAGACAGAGAGAAATCATAGCAAACTGTCAGGTAAACTACTACTTTTCAAAAGGCTTCAGTTTTTAGGAACCCTTTGGTTTTTCTGTGTTTATGAATATATATGTTCCTTGTACAAAACACAGATACATGAGAGGTATGCGGGTGGCTGGGAAGGAAGGAAAGGTCACTCACTACTCATGGAGACCTTGTGTACAACAATGAAATAGTGCATGGTCACCCAGTAGCCTCACAACTGCTAGCTTGTGCAAGTCCATAGTTGGGGCTACTGGGCCCCCCCCCACTGACTGAAGGTCTCCCTCCTGCCTTTGTGTCCAAATAAGAGAGTCTCTGGAAACTGCTGAAACCTGCCCACCAGTGGTATTTGATCTTACCAGTCCTGGTATTTGATATAATAACTAGAGCAAGTACAGACCAGATGAACTGACAGAAGAAGGTTCACAGCCCTTTGAATGTGAAGACCAGTACCCTAATTTCTAGCATCACAGTAACACACAAATCACAGTATGAGAAACTGACATTTGGGTAGCAGGTAAAAAACCAGAAAAGTGTGAAGTGAAAATTATAATCTTCTAACTTTCCATACCCAAAGATAGTAGAGTAATTTTGTTATACTTATTTTTAAAAAGAAATTATAGTAATAATTTTAATGACCTTTGTTGGCATTATTTTGTGAGCATTTTTCCAGGCTTTTAAGTATTCTGCATATAAATATTCCTTTTTAAAGACAGCATGTCCATACTGAAGTCCTGGTGTGGCATTGTAGGATAAGCTTACTGTAAGATCGGCTGTTCAAATGCACCAGTTACTCCTTGAAAACCGTCTGCTCTCAACAACATACCAGTATCAGCTGCCGCGGATTGATTCTGACTCACAGCGATTTGTGTTCCGTAGTTTTCAGAAGCTCTCGGGCCTTCTTCTGCCAAGGCATTTCTGAGTGGCCTTGAACCTTTTGGTCAGCAGCTGAACACATTAGCCCAGGGACTCCTAAGGCAATTTAATTTTCCATTACTTATATTTTTTATTTTTTATTAACTAGGACCTTAGTTTGGGCTTTTAGATTATTCCAAATAGTCACTGTTGTAAATAATGTGAGGTGTTAGATTATATATCAGTGTTTGTCCACTTAACTCTTTTCTCAGAATGACATCTGTGACAGGGTGTCCCGGTTCTTCCCAGCCCTGGAATCAGCCTATTTCCCAAGGAGCCCAGTACTTTAGTGGAGAATTGTTGCTATTGTTGTTAACTAAGTACAGTCGGTTCTGACTCATCTACCCTGTATAAGGTTTCCAAGGAGCAACTGGTAAGTTTGAGCCACTGACCTTGCAGTTCAAACTTACCTTGTGGTCCAATGCTTTATCTTACCCTGCCACAGCAGGACTCTGGTACTTACAACAGATGTAGGCACGCTAAGGGGTGCGCACTTCTAGTGGTGTGCCATTGCTTATAGGCCCACCTAGTGGTCAGAGCTAGGAAGTGTGGGTGTGTGTATATACATAAACACGATAGACTTTAAGTCCAGCCATAAATATGTGTCAACACGTATGTGTGTGGTCTTCATTGTCAAGTTAAGGCACTTCTCTCCTCTGTCTCCTCTGCCCAGTTCACTGAGAGTTTTTATCCTGAATAAGTATGATAATTCATCAAATACTGTCCTGTATCTATTGAGATGATCACTGGTTCCCCTTAATGCTGGGCTGTCTTTTTTTTTTAACCTTGTTGTTGTTGTTAAGGACTATCGAGTCGGTTCCGACCCATAGCGACCCTGTACAGGGTTTCCAAGGGTGTAAATCTTTACGGGAGTAGAAAGCCTCATCTTTTTCCCGTGGAGCAGCTGGTAGTTTCGAACCGCTGACCTTAAGGTTGGCGGCCCGATTCTTAACCACTACGCTACCTTGGCAAAGCAAAATTTACTCCGGCAAGAGGGTGCGTGCGCATAGCCGTACAGGAAAAGGCCAGTGAGCACACCGAGTGGGCAGTCCACTTAGGTTTTTAATACCTGACCCAAGTTTTAGAGCTGTGTCTCACCCCATTGGCTAGGGCTTTGACCACACAATCTTTTCCCTTACCGGGTTGGCTAGTTTAATTTTTTAAGGAGCACATTCCCATTTCAGGAAATAGTAAAAAGTAGAAGCGAGGTCATACAGACCCTACTCACTTCAGGAAATAGTAAAAGGAAAAAAGATGGTAAAGTCTCTGCTCACTTCAGGAAGTAGTCAAAGAAATAGAGATCATAAAGTCTTTATTCACTTCAGGAAGTCGTCAAAAAAAAAAGAAAGAAAGGTCACCCGAATACAATACACAGGATTATAATAATTTGGGGAGAAAAGATATTCATTCCCACAGTCACCCCCCCCCATTATTTTTTTATTTATCTTTTTTTGTTGTTGTTAGACTTCATTCTTTTTTTCAAACTCTGCAAGTAGACGAAGTCTTTGGTGTTCCTATGTTTCTACGTGAAAAAGGTTATTTTGGTATGGAGGTGAGGTTTGTTTGGATAAGGCTGTTTCTGTAAGTTTTAGAACTAATTCTCTTCTACAGAGTATAATACAGCATCCCGTTAGTGTTAATACACCAAATACAGTCAGAGAGGTGAGGACCAGAGTCATAAGTCCTTTCCATTTTTCGAACCATTGTTCCATGATACTAGAAAAGGGGCCATCTATGCCTGAATTGTCAGTGAGTTCGTTATCTAGGTGGTCAGCCCTTGTAATGCTTTGGTAATGGTATTATCAGGAGCTGTATTACTGGGAATTAAAGTACAACCTTGGACTCCGATTATAACACATACTACTCCTTTTTCTGCTAATCATTTCTAGGGTTAACCTATGTTCCTAGGCCATTTTGCTAGTAGCTCCTAATTGCTCTGCTATTCCTTTTATAGTGTCTCTGGTATAATTTACGAATCTTTGTTGATTGTAATAGATGTAGCTAATCCAGTTTACATGTTTGTTAATGGTTGACCACCAGAATAATACAGATTCAAACTCTGCAGCTATATGGTTTAATACTGGGCTGTCTTTTAATAGGTGAATTATAATGACTATGTTTTTTAAAGTTGCTGATGTAGACTCTTCTAACATTTTTTAAAAATTGTGGTAAAAGATTATAAAACATTTGCCAATAGAAATGTTTTACATGGATAGTTACATAGGTTATATTACTAATGTTGTACAACTATTACCACGATCTTTTTCCAAATGACTTCACCACCATTAATATACATTCGGTACCCTTTAAGCAATAACTGCCCCATGCTGTTCCCTCCCACCCTGGTTAAGTGCTGTCAGATCACTTCCGACTCATTATCTACATTTGCCTAGGGCTTCCTAGGAGCAGCTGGTGGGTTTGAACCACCAATGTTGTAGTTTACAGTCCAGTGCGTATCCTACAGCGCCACACTAGGACTCCTCACTACTTGTAACTACTAATAAGCATTTCGTTGTTGTTGTTAGGTGCCATCGAGTCAGTACTGACTCACAGCAACTTTATGTGCAACAGACTGAAACACTGCCTGGTCCTGGGCCAATCTCACAATTGTTGCCACGCTTGAGCCCATTGCTGCCTGCCATATTGTCAGCATTAGCCTCTGTGTTTTTGCCTGTTTCATATAAATGAGATCATACTGTATTTGTCCTTTGACTTTTTTCACTTGGCACATTTTCAAGGTTCACACATGTGGTGGATGTGTCAGGACTGTGGCTGAGTCCATTCCATTGTACGTATGGACCGCATTTTGCTTACCCATTCATCTCTTGGACTCTTAGGTGGTTTCTACCTTTTGCCTGTTGTGAACAGTGCTGCTTTGAGCATTGATGCACAAGTGTCTGTGTTTCTGCTTTCAGCTCTTTGAGGTACATACCCAGCTTTGGGATTGCTGGGTCACCAGCTGCTCGTCAGAAACCCTGTGCAGATGACTCTGAGATGGAACTAACTCCACGGCACTTAACAACAACAGTAGTGCTATGTTTAACTTTTGATGAACTACCAAACTTTCCCACAGTGCCTGTACCATTTTGCATTCCCACCAGCAATGGATGAAGGTTCCAGTTGCTGCACATCCTTGCCAACACTCATTATTTTCCTTTTTTAAAAATCATAAGACACTCTAGTGAGGGTGAGGTAGCATTTCACTGCGGTTTTGATTTGCATCCTCTTAATGACTAATGACTTAATGGAGTTCTGGTGTGGCCCTGCAGGATTATGTGCTAGACTACAATGTCACTTTGAACTGCAAGGTTGGGAGTTCAAACTCACCAGCTGCTCTTTGGAAATCCTATACAAAATCGTTATGAGTCAGAACCGATATGGCATCTCTTAGGAGCAACAACAATGACTAATGAATGATGTTGAGCATCTTTGCCAGTGTTTGTTAGCTATTTGTACACCCTCTTTTTAGTGAAGTGTCTGTTCAAGTTCTTTGCTTATGTTTTTGTATTGGGTTGTCTTTTTGTTTTTTAAGTTCTTTGATATCATATATCAAGAAATTCTTCATATATAATGGATGTTAAATCCTTATCAGCTATATGGATCCCCCAAATTTTCGTCCAATCTATAGATTGTCTCTTCACTTTGTTGA